TCATATGCCAGTGACTGGTAAATAGACCATCTCTGAGTTCAGCAATGAGTCTGCAAGTCTTGGTGAGAGTTGTTTTAGCATAATGTACTGTGTCTAGCCTTTAACCATGAGTTTACTAGGTCTGGCATCTACAGTCCATTTATTGTCCATTTATCATTTTGTTTTGTATATATTGTCTTGTTATCTCAATTATAGGAAACTAAATTTAGCCCGATCATATAAAATTCAATAATCAACTTGACGAAGTCAGTGTGAATCACCAATTGCACAAGTTTTAGAAAACAGAAAATTAGAAACATATAACGTTCTATTATGAAATTTGCGTGATGTTTTAACAATCCAGGAGAGTTAATAGGCTGACGACGGTCTGTACTATTGGAAAAAGTCTTTCTCAACTTTTTGAATTTTGGAAGAGTTAACTAAGTTTACAGAGGGCGATGCCCGGCAATGTTTTTTCAGCGAGACAAAGTCCGGCGTCACACATCGTGACAAACAAAGCAGGAACTTTGCGAGTTGTATGCTTCAATCGTCTCCACCTCTCCATCCATAAAATGCTTCAACATTGCTTCTTTACCAAAGACGGCTACGTAATAATTGAATCAGACGACCATAGAATATTTGTCAGTACACTGTATGAAAATATGGCGGAATAGCATTGCTTGTATAATCATACTGAAGATGGCAAAATGGTGAATATGTCTAACAGACAGAACCAACATTAATAAATTTTTGTATCGGTTTCAGTTTCATTTTGAATTAATGTTTAAAAACGAAATTTGAAATTAAAAAAGTGTGGTGATTAGTGACCGTTAATCGATATTTATTTAGAAATCGTGAGATGCGGTCTGGTGTGTTGTAGGTTTCAGAATAACGTTTTCTTTATCGTGCCAACGTTTCGATCTTTATTGAGATCATCTTCAGGGCCTGGAATTTACAAACATTGTTTACATATAACAATTACATTACATCCAAAATGTAATTGTTATATGTAAACAACGTATGTAAATCCCAGGCCCTGAAGATGATCTCTATAAAGATCGAAACGTTGGCACGATAAAGAAAATGTTTTTTTTGAAACCTACATCACACCAGACCGCATCTCACGATTTCTAAATAAATATTAAAAAAGCATTAATGAGATTCGAACCGTGGCTTTATTTATCTCAAATTTCGTGTTTTAAAAATTAATATAATTTTGTAAATAGTAATGTTGCTTTGTAGACGGTCTTTGATGTTTCTTGAAACGTTGATAACATAACTAAAAATGAAAGGCTATCATAAATCGAATAAAACCGTTATAGAAACTGATTGTTTAGAAAGGGATTTAAAACCCAGTTGACCAATCCAATGTTTCCTTACGGTAAATTGTACCTAAACCAGCCCAGGTAGCCAAAAACTTAAAAAAGCTTTTTTGTAGTTTTTAAAAGACAGAGCCTAAAACATAACCGATACATCCTAACATTTTAATATTATTATGCTAATCCCTTGTGTCAGAATGGGGTTAAAAGACAACCCACGATTTCTATTGTCTCGTGTTTAAAGTTTCTATTGTTTTCCTAATATTTGTCTCATCCGGTATCTACCGTTTGTTGAGACATAAATGAACATTTTTGTAAACTTTTTTGAACTGTCAAACCAAATCTTCGGGATGTCTATCAGCATCTTATGTTTAATTTGTGCCTTATGGACAAATCGCGCTTTCTAGCTGCTAGGTTGAAAAGAAAATGTTAGGAAGTGTGGTAATCGTGGTAACAAAATTCCCATACGTTGTACAAAAAAAAGTTATTCACGCTTGTTTTCCATCTTTGTTATGATTTCTCTATTGACGGGTCATGATTTCATGTGTATAGACATCTTCAGTTCGGTTTCGTGCTGTACGTCCAGAATGACTTTACTAGAATGAGAAAGCTGACCTTCTTTGCCGGGAGAGATGACGATGTCCATGAACGAAGGAAGGAAGGGTTGGCCGATTTTACTTTTTTACCCAGAATTCGCATCTCCCTGGTCTGTTCATGCTTATCCGCCGAATTTACACTTTTGTTTAGTACAGTTGATTTCGAGCTTTTATGTAAGTATTTGTGTTATTTAGTGACTGTTACTTGATGACTATTTGGAGGTCATGAGATGCGGTCTGGTGTGACGTAGGTGTTAGAAAAACATTTTCTTTATCCTGCCAACGTTTCGATCTTTATTGTGATCATCTTCAGAGCTCAAAGTGTTTTCCGTGTATATGTATCATTCTTGTATGTCGCGTTGAGAGTATCCATCTTTTATGTAAGTTTGTACAGTTTTTTTACTGTGTGCGTTAAGCATTTTGGCATGACGTCTTTAATTTTTTTTATTGTATGATGTTACGTCTATCGTTTATGGACTATCGCAACATTATCCCATAAAATGGGGAAAATTGTCCTCACTTTAATATTTTATTATATTAATTAATCTTTTTATGTAAGTTCTTGGTCGAGATGAAAAAGCTAGTGGCACGAGCGGGATTCGAACCGACGCCCTTCGGCTAAATACGCCGATGCTCTAACCACTTGAGCTATCGTCACTTACTGAAAACGTGAAACTTTGATTTATATACTATTATATGCAAATCATTTTTTTCTTTCAAGTGTGTGGATTTTTTTCCCTGTCATTTTGAGATCGTGACTTGCGGTCTGGTGTGGTTTTAGAGAAACATTATCTTTATCGTACCAACGTTTCGATCTTTATTGAGATCATCTTCAGAATAGACACATGTAAACTCAGTCGAACCTACGCTAATATCATTAATCAAATTTAATATCATCGCATCACGCAAACATAACATAAAAAACAATCATCACATTCGACACATCAAACATTTCTATATAGTCTAATTTTTCAACGATTTGGCTTTTCTTTCCCTAATTATCACCGTCCATAAAATCCTGAAAGTATAATCAGGCCGAACCATTACCAACGTTTTTCCCATCGTCGGCTCCTTTCACCTCAAAGAAGCCGACTCCTTATATAAAAATGCCTTTCTATCCCGACTTCCTTCACCACCCCTTCAAAATCCAATGTATAGACACAAAACAGCACTGGCGCTTTCAACACGACACAAAAGAATGACACAACTTCGCAGAAAACAAACACTTGGAGTGAGTACAAATACTTTGATTGAATCTAAAAATTTCTTGCATTGTATAAATTCATTTTTTCACATCCTACATGTTTACAAATCCCAGGCCCTGAAGATGAATGAAGGTCGAAATGTGGCACTATGAAGAAAATGTTTCTCGAAAACCTACGTCACACCAGACCGTATCTCACGATCACCAAATAATCGTTAACTAATCATTAACCACATATTTAGACAAAAATTATTTTTGTGAAAATTATTTTTCAAAGTTCCGGCTACTAAAATTCTGTCACCAACGTTTACAAGTTTAGAGTTGTTCACATCATATTGGGAATTTAAAGTAGTTTTCAATGGTATCAACGGATTTGTCCAAAACCTTTTAGTTTTGGAGTAATCATTGTTTATTTGAAGCGAGGTCGTGAAATCTAAAAAAATAAGAAAAGGGGGAATAACTCCGAAACTGTTGAGATTTGGACCATAGTTAATAAGGATTTTTTTGTTCTATTTTAAAAGTACAATCTACTGGCATAGTTTTTAACACGAGTAGCCGACCACCCCCATTTTACTTGTAATATTGTGAGGAGTAATTTATCTGTTTTCTGATAATTATTGCGTTCCTATTATTAATTATACATAATATATAGGAGGGAAAATTCAAAAGTGGGATTGATATGGGAAGTTAGTGCCCGAGAGGTTTGAAGTCACTCAAGTGGTCGAGCGGCGTATCTAGCCGAAAATCGTGGGTTCGAATCCCGCTCCTGACACTGACTTTTTTATCTCATCCAATACTTAAAGATTAATTAATTGAAATGAATTAATTATAAACGTTGTAATTGCTTGTAGAGCCTCAATGAAACCTAAAGAAGGGTTGAAAGCTTGGCGTAAAACCTGCTCTTTCTGATGACCGCATCCCTGGTCTTTAACTTGTTAGTGATATCCTGACGGTCGATTCATCATTCCTTCGTTTAATCAATAATTTAAAAAATAAATTTTTATGAGATATTTTAGTTAGTGGCGCCTTTTAATCCTTGTCTGACCATATAATTTATGATATATAAATCTTTTTGATTTATTATTTATGAGTATTTTTGATTTTTTGGGAGAATTTTGTTGAAAAATAGTTAGGAATGAAATGTAAATTTAAGTCCGTCCCCTATAGGAATCGGCTTGATTGCGCAAGTGAATTGTATTTATTCTTGCCTTCGGGGGTGACTTGCGCAGTGAACTTACCATCGCCATTGGCCACCCCGGTTTATCCCACCCTCCGATTCTTCCACCCCTCTTTTGAATTTTATTACCCATTCTTCATTACGCGTTAAGCTTTGTTGATCTTACCCCTGCAATGAAATTGCCAGTCAGACCGTCAACCTTAAGTCCGCCGGAATTAGTGTTATGGACAATTCAAAAATTTATACCGTTGCTAATTTTTTTTTTACCCGGTTGAAAATATAAAAAAAAAATAGCTGGTATAATTCAACCGGAATGGTAAATTTATTTGACGTTACGCGTTTCTCTTTTTCGAGTCTAATATTAGTTGCCCGTTAGAGATTTATAAACAAAGTGAGTTTATTATCGTACGAGCTGTGGGGAGGAATCCGAGATTAGAGAAGTGACTTCCCTTTGAAGTCATATCACAGCTGCCACCAACAGTCCTCGTTTAACCCGTTTTTATTACATTTTCTTTCTTAATTCTTAGAATTTTAGTTTTTGTAAATTAAAAAAAAAAATTATAAGTATAAATAGAAATTTTCTATCGAGAGAAAACTGTACTTGTAATTTTGCTTTCTTTTTCATTTAATCGTAATAGAAAAAAAAAACGCGGAGGATGGTAAATTGGAAGGGAGTCGCGAAATGGAAATAAAAGGGCCGGGAGGGCGAAAAGAGGGGAAAGTTATTCGGGCTTTAATTGTTTTCCCTTTGACACAAAGGACATGATTGTATGATATAAGTTTGTTACGTCACTTAGGGCGGGGCTGGGGGTGGATATCCGCTTAACTTCGGTGGCGTGCTCCCCTTTGTAGATCAAAGCCATGCTACGCTATCTCTCTCTCATATCTGTTCGGCTTTGAAGTCCCTTTGACGGCGCTACATCAAAGGCTCTCCCGCACACACACAGAGCATTATAAACGTTCTCTCTCTCGCTCCCTCTCGCTCTTGCTCACCAAACTTTGAACTGGCTCTGCGACTAGTTTATATTTCAACTCAGTTGCCTGAGTGTCTTTAGAGGGAGCACATCGTGCGCTCCGCTCCCTCTGCGGCTCTTTTCATCATTCATATTTCGTCGTGCACATGCACAGTTTTGTCACACCGCGTATACGTCAGTGTGTCGGGAGACATGTGATAGAATAGAAGAAATTGGGTAAAGACGTGCGGAGTGTGTAAAGTGAAGTGACGATGAGATAATCGCGGAAATGGATACGATGAGTGATATGTCGCCGAAGGAGCAAGGTGTGACAAAAGACCAATCTAGTCAGTGGTCGGAGAAAATTTCAGCCAAAATGAGAAAAAGGTGTAAAATTTCTCGTATAACTTCTAGTCGTTTGATGGATAAACTGAGAAAAAGGATGCCGAAGAAGCGTCAAGAAGACCCTAAAAGAGTTTACAGGGAGGCCGACGTCGAAAAAGCTCTATACAGGTGGTACGCCAGAATGACTCAGAATACAACAAGAGAGTGCCCTACGAGCGGAGAAATTATTAGAAAAGCTGCGGCGTTGGCGAAAAAGTTCGGAGCAGACAGTGTTAAAATCAAACAGTTCAACAGAGAATGGACGAAATCTTGGTATACGAAGTTCGGCATTAAACAAATCAAGCCGCAACCGGAATCGATTCCCGAACCTCCGCCGGTTTTGGACGCCGCTCTTGAAGGGTACTCGGACGATCAGATTTACACCGGGCTGGCTTTCGAATTCGACTGGACCAGCCTGCCCGACAGGTCTATGGAGAGGAGGGCTCCGGAGGACCGAGTCTGGCTTCTCATGGCGGGCAATAAGTCAGGAAGGCACAGGACGAGGATGTTAATCACCGGAAAGGAATGGAGGCCGGAGTCTCTAAAGCATGTAAATATGTTAAGCCAGCCGGTAGTATACGCCGGCGGAGGAGTGGGACGTCTAACCCCCGATCTCTTTTCCTGGTGGTTCCATCGAGAATTTTCCCCGGCTGCTCTCGTTCTCAACGAAGCTGGTGCCATTCTGGTAATGGAAAAGGCCGATTATTTACCTCCTTCTTCAGATTGTGTGTCATCTGACGGGAAAGTTAAACTAGTGGTCTATTCTGAAGAAACTTCACCTAATATAAAACTGGACCAAAGCTTACTCAGGTCCGAACTTAAAACGAGATACGCTATGCTCCTCCTGCATATCATATCGATGGAACAATCTAGGTGGATGTCGATCCCTCATTATTTATCGAATTTCAGTTTGAAAGAAGCTTTTCCGTTGCTTCATCGTGCTTGGCTTAACGTTAGACCCGAGACGTTTAGGAGAGCCTGGTCGGGTGCTTTGGGGTCAGTGTTGGGTGAAGAGGATAGAATGCTTCTTCTCGAATTGCAGTGGATATCCCACGATATCGGTTTCGAAGTTACTGATGAAGACGTCCAAATATGGTCGTCTTCGACTCGCGAGCTTGAAAGCATACCGGAAGAAGTAAAAACCGAACCCAGGGAAGAAACCGCCGGTGAAACCGTCCCTACCGCCTCCGAGGCGGTTAACCATCTTTCCAAAGCTCTCGTTTGGATGGAATCGGAACCTATCGAACCCAGTTATCTTCTTGTACTTCGCGATATCATCACGATAGCCAAACAGGTCGGCTCGTAGTTTTAATTCGAAATTTTCTTTTAGAGTTGTATTTTAACATTTGGTTCTTATGTTTTCAGGCGAGCAAGATGGGGCTGGGTGCGGGCCATCCTGGTAGCGGCCTTCCTTTCTTTTGCCACAACGGAGATCCTCTGAGTCAGCCACCTCCTGCCCACATGGGGATCCCACCTTACCAGCTGGACCCTAAGGGCGGTGAGTACTGGCGCGCACCTCAACAATGGAAGAGGCTGGGACCTCTCCTCGCAGCTACAGGTCAACCACACAAACCCCTTCTATTACTAACCATGAAAGTCCACACATGCTACTTTTGTCTAATTCTTCGCTTTTTTTTCTTATTTTTCCCTCAAGCTAATACCACCCCCCGGGTAAAACTAAGATGGCGGGGGTGTCGCGCACGGCTATTGCGCACCCCCGGGATACGCCCGACTTTCCACCCTCCGATCGATATTAACTACTATATTTCATACATTATTTATCCTTCAAAACGGCCCCCATAGACGTTAATGTATATCTTCTTGGATAAGAGTTGTCCTTTTTTCTTTCTATCCTGTAGGCTAGGAAAAAGTACCAAGCCCTTCGATTTTTTAACGAATTAAGAACCCCTTATTTTTAATAATAGTTTTTTTTAAATCTTTTATTTAGCAATACAATTTTAACATATTCAATGTTGGAAATTATAAACTGTAGAAATTCCCTGCTTTAGGAAAGGCACCGAAAGGTGTAATCAGAAATAGACCAGAGTTGATATAATTGAAAGGAAATTCGGGCTTAACCTACTTTCAAAATGGCCAAAATTCCCGTGCTTGAAAATTCCCCACCGTTATGAAATTAGTCCGGTTCTAGCTTTTCATAAAATTACGACAATGCATGTCCGCTTTAGTAAGAAAAAGAAAACGTTAAATCATCGGAAAATATAACAGTACTTTTTTATTCGTGCCGCTTTATAACTCTTAGATAATAAAGAATTGAATGAGCGCCGGTTTTGACCGTAATTGTTCATTTAGAGGATATTGAAATAGGGTAAACAAATACAGCAAACAGTGTTGTTTACTCGTGGTTTCTTTGAAAGGCCCGCTGAAGGGGCTCATGAAAGAATGAAGAGTTTTGCGTGTCGTTGCATAATCTTTCCGTCGTGCTTTCGAAACGTTGCTTTGAGATGATTCCGCCTCTTTTAAATCATGTGTTCATGCTGAAAATTCTTTTTATGAGGCCTTCTGTTGATCTCGCCCCATTCAAAATTTATAAAAATGATCAAATTAATTAAACGAAAACCAATTGTGACTTTTGATAAGGAGCACCCACAGTTTATTGGCGCATGCTTTCAATTATCTCTTCTTATTCATACCTCTCAGCGGAGTTTCTTTCAAACTCTACATCAAGCGACACAGGGAAGACATGAATAGGATTCGAGTGAATATGAATCAAGTTAGCTTTTCAGAAAAATTCTGAAATATAAAAAAAGCATGTTTTCCATTTAGTAAAGTTTATCTTAAATAAACTTGTTTAAATTGACACTTCCCTTTAGAATATTAGCAGTCTATTGGATCTTATAAACAATGCTTTATTAATTACAAAAAGCATTATTTTCTATTCCTAAACACATTTCAGGACAATGAAAATATTATTATTTCATAAAAATTAAATTCTGTGAAATCCACTGAGCAAAAGTCCTTGGCGTTTATACCAGATCGATTCCTCATCAAAATACCATTGGCTTGCAATTTGAACCAATTTTTTAAAATAATTAATTATTCGAAATAGCGAAGCTGTTACTTTTTGTTCTAATTTCAGTTGAATAAGTTCATTTTTATAAAAGTGCTTTTATCTATTTTGAAAAACAACGTAGAGATATAGAAGAAAAGTGGTCGAGCTCCGATGACATCGATCAGGACTCGAGACGTTCATTTTTCATTGCAAACCTCACTTTACAAAATATTGCATTGTTTATATACAGGGTGAATTGCTACTCGTGCTACAAACTTCTCCAGTAGATTCTTCACCCTAAAATGAACAAAAAAGTTCATATTGTCCATGGTCCGATTCTCAACCATTTCAGAGTAATTTCGCTTTTTATCGATTTTGAAAGATATCACGTCCTGGCGTCGGAAAATCGTGATATCTTTTAATCTAAACATTTCTCTGAAAATCTAATAGCACCGTTGAAATTCCCGTTAATTTTTCAATAAGAAGATGACGGTGGCAAAATGTTTGGGCTAATTTTTTGTGTTTTATTTCAGCCAGAACTACAAAAAGAGTGGAAAATTGTGTAAATCGGAAAGTGTATAAAGTAATCCAGAGTTTCTAATTTTAGTCTCAGAAGGCAGCAAATTTGAGGAAAACTACCTGATTTAATAACGCTTCCAACGCACTCGTCATTTTCTTATTTAGTGGTTGTGAGACCAAGATGTTGATGACAAAAAGAGAAAAAATGGTGGTTCAAGGATTGCTAATGTTTGAGAGTGACTTGCTACTCGTGCTACAAACTTCACCAGTAGATTCTTGACCCTAAAATGAACAAAAAAGTTCATATTGACCATGGTCCGATTCTCAACCATTTCAGAGTAATTTCGCTTTTTATCGATTTTGAAAGATATCACGTCCTGGCGTCGGAAAATCGTGATATCTTTTAATCTAAACATTTCTCTTAAAATCTATAAGCACCGTTGAAATCCCCGTTAATTTTTCAATAAGAAGATGAAGGTGGCAAAACGTTTGGGTCTTTCTTCCTTGACCTTCTAGCTGTTTGTAAACTTCTTAAGCATTACATACTAAATGGGCATTAAATTAAATTAAAAAATTTCAATGGAATTATGATTTTGATTCTCTCTAAAAATTAACGGGGATTTCAACGGTGCTTATAGATTTTAAGAGAAATGTTTAGATTAAAAGATATCACGATTTTCCGACGCCAGGACGTGATATCTTTCAAAATCGATAAAAAGCGAAATTACTCTGAAATGGTTGAGAATCGGACCATGGACAATATGAACTTTTTTGTTCATTTTAGGGTGAAGAATCTACTGGAGAAGTTTGTAGCACGAGTAGCAATTCACCCTGTATATATGTATAAAAGTGGGAGGTTTATGGGCCGACAAACAGCTGAGGTCATCGCTGACCCTCTGGTTTCTTTCTTTTTCTGGCCTCTCACATTTAGATGTTAGAAGTTAGCTGTTGTTAGATGACATATGTTAGATGTAAGATATTAGATGTTCGAAGCTAGAGGTTAGATGTTACATATTAGAAGTTAGATGAAAGATGTTAGAATTAGATGTTACATACTAGAGGTTAGATGTTAGAATTAGATTCACTAATTTCGTGGTCCGCTTGACCAATTATCGACCAATTATGTTCGAATCCCTCTCGTGCCATTAACTTTTTTTCATCTCAACTAAAAACCTTAACTAATTGTTAGAATTAGAGGTTACATATTAGAAGTTCGATGAAAAATGTTAGATGTTACATATTAGAAGTTAGATGTTACATATTAGAAGTTAGAGGTTAGATGTTGCATATTAGATGTTAGAATTAGATGTTACATATTAGAAATTAGAATTAGATTATACATATTAGATGTTAGAATTAGATGTTACATGTTCGAAGTTAGACGTTAGAATTAGATGTTACATATTAGAAGTTAGAGATTAGATGTTACATATTAGAAGTTAGAGATTAGATGTTACATATTAGAAGTTAGAGATTAGATGTTACATATTAGAGGTTAGATGTTGCATATTAGAAGTTAGATGTAAAATATTAGATGTTAAATATTAGATGTTAGAGATTAGATGTTACATATTAGAAGTTAGAGATTAGAATTAGATGTTACATATTCGAAGTGAGATGTTAGATAGTAAACTGCAGCCATTTGAGCTTCTCGATATGATTATCGACTCTAGTTTTATATGTAGAGATATCCTATTTGATATCCTAAAATGCTAGCATCTCTTTGTACCTCAGAATATCAACTACTAAGTATAATATATAAAACTTACAATACATATATGTATATACATAACCACAAACATAGTCTGGTGACATTTACTCCTCTAGACTACTCGACATTACTCGGGGCGGGTTAAACAAACCCTTTCTGTCACGCTAATAAATTACATCCATTCCAATAAATTAACATAAACAGATCACATGATACCAACGTAGAAGTCTGGTCATATTACCCCAGAGTACTCTATATTCATCCGGGCGGAAAATAATTAATTAAAAATATAAAATACGTTAGTTAAGATGAGCATCAACATATACCCAAATGGAATTTTTTAACCTAGAGCCTATATGGGATGTCTCATTCTTAATTTCCATAGGAAAAAAAATTGGAATCCCTTTAAAAAATCTCCAATACTTTAAAGAATTGTGAAAGCTGAGGATTTAAAACGATCAACCCCCCCCCCCCCTAGACCACGGAGTTCTTTTAACATTAAACATGTGGGTAATTATAAAGCATTCCGGTTCAATAGTTGTAACCGTATATTTTAAAGAGACCGTTTAGCCCCGGATTATTGTCGAAGAGAACAAAGGTCGTAAAACCCTTCAAGTGCAAATCGAAGGGTTGTCTCGTATTATGAAAAGGGGTTGGAATGACCATTGTGCCTGGCCGTTGCCCTTGTAGGTTGTAGGTTTCTTGTCCACGCGGGTAAAAATAATTTAGCACTTTTATCAGGTATGAATGTGCTCTTTCACATATCGGTTCATATCTCAATAGGTCTATTTCCATTTATGTCGTCATTGCCTTTAGATTAACCCTTGTCAAAACGTATCCATAAGCGAAAATAAATTGTAGTTTTGTTTCCTATCCTGGATCTTTGGCCTATCAGACGCGTTTTATATTTGTTATATTCGTTCTGAAATTTTTGAAATAATGAAAAACGTCTACGCCCGCGATAGATGCGTTGTGAACGAATCATGTTACCTGTTTCCGATTATTGTCAGATGAGCGCATTGTGACGAGCAGGGGACCCCTTTCCGCCCCTAGTTCCACCCCAACCCCGTCGGCCCGTGGCTCAGGTTGCCTTCCAACTTTTCATTAAATTGACTTTCTTTATGTCCCCTGACAATGGGCCTGAAACTCATCACAAAGTATTTAGAGGGGATTAGAGTGACATCCCTCGGATGAATACCATTCGATATTATAAAAGACTTCCTTATTTTCTCATCAGCTCTCCGACGGGGGAGGAGAGTGATAATATTGGCCTTAATATTAAACGTTGCCCTTACTTTTTTTTCACTCACTCCTTACT